TCCCACCTTTTTTCCACCTTTTTTTTTTCTCACCTTTTCCCTAGGAAAAGGTAGAATCCTGGTCCACGGCTTGCTGCCTGGAAAAGGTGGAACAAAGAGCCCTGGGCAGAAGGTGAAACAAAGGTGGCTGGGCGGAAAGCGTTCACCGGAAAAGGTGGAAAAGAGGTGAGCAGTGGAGTGCGGTGGGGTGGGGTGGGGTGGGGTGGCTTTTGCCTTTGTTTCACCTTTCTTTTACCTTTTTTAATTCTGGAGTCATATCCAGTAAATACTAGAAAGGCAAAATCACAAGCATAAGGAGTACAAGATTCTTTCAGGGAGGGGATCGGTCATCGTCTTCCTGTTCGAAAACTGCACAGTATGTTGATGCAAGTCTTAATGCTTGTGTGTTAAGGTTCATCGCCTGTTCAAGCCCAGAGTTTCCCCGAGCGAAATTTTCAACGAGGCAGAAGCCCCCAGACCTACAAGCATTTTTGTTTTGTCTTGGAGCCGCCAACGAAATCGATGTTCCGGATGCTGCCCCCCTGCCTTGTTCGCACACAGTGCCCAAAACCTGAGCCGCAGGAGCAGTCGCTTGAGAAGCTCAAGGCGGTGAAGGCACCGTAGCAACAATAACGATTATAAATAGTAGTGAGTAGTGATGATAATACCATCGTAGTAGCCGCAGTCGTCGCCGCCGCAATGTTACACTAGTGGTAGGGGCAGTGGTAGTTGGCAGTGGCAGTCATTTTGGTAATCTTGATCATCTGGGCAATCTTGGTCATCTTGTTGGGGCGTCGTCTGCTCGCACAAGGGTGGGGCAAGATTGCACGTCATTTTAATATTCTTGGTTGTCTTGGCAATCTTGATTTTCGAGGTTTTTCTTGGGTGGGGGGCGTCATGTATGTAATCTCGGCCATCTTGCACCACTTGCACCACTTGCTGACCAAGATTACCAAGATTGCTCCCCCGCCCATCGGACCCCCCTCGTCAAGGACTTGTTTTTAGTGGCGCGCCCAGGGTTTAGGGGTTTCGGTTTGGGGTTTAGGGTTCGGGGCTTAGGGCTTTAGGTTTTTTAGGTTGATGGGTTTAGGCTTTTAGGATTTAGGGGTTGGGGTTACGCGTGCCTGGCGCGCCCTTCGGTTCAGGGTTTATATGGCTTACGGGTTTGGGATTTGGGATTATAGGGATTAGGGATTAGGGTTAAGGGGCGCGCCCGGCGCGGGCGCGCGCGCGCGCGCGCGCGCGCGCGCGCGCGTCGGTTTAGGGTCTAGGGGTTTGGGTTTGGGGTTTAGGGTTCGGGGCTAAGGGTTTTAGGGTTGTTAAGGGTCTACGGGTTTTAGTAGGGTTTAGGGTGTAGTGCGCATTAATTACACGCACCCGGAGCGTGCATCAGTTGAGGGTTTATCGGTTTATAGTGTTGCAGGGTTTAGGGTTTTGCGGGATCAGGGCTTGGGGTAGGGTTCAGGGGCGCACCCGACGCACGCATCGGATCAGGTTTAGGGGCGCGCCCGGCACATTTGTATAATGAAGGTAATCCGGGGGGGGTGGGGGGGTGGGGGCGGGGCGACATCTAGGTAATCTTGGCGCACTTGCACCACTTGCTGACAAAGACGGCCAAGAACATGCGCCCCCCCCCAGACCTGACGAACCAGGAACCAAGATTACCAAGATGACGCGCAATCTTGTTCTCCCCCCCTAGCAAGACTACCAAGATGACGCGTCATCTTGCCCGACCCCCGTCTGACCAAGATGACCGTCATCTTGCCCGGCATGACGGTTCCACTTTCCCGGCGCACTGCGGTGGTAGCACTCGTGCTGGTGCTGCCAAGAAAACAGCAGTTTGCAGGACTTGGCCCAATGACATTAATGTTGCACCGCCCCGTCAAGACCGGCAGCAATGTTAAAAGTGGGGCCGCGGGGTAGCTGGGTGATGGTTTACGTTCCTTGGGTTAAGTAGGTGGTGCAAGATTTCTTCTATCCACTGGCTGGATTGCGTCTCTTGTCGTATCGATGATGATGAACCCTGCCGCTGAATAGATGCTCCTGTGGGTGGTCAGTCTGGCGTCGCATACATCTTGGGTCTTTGATGGTCTCTGGCCGTGGATGGGTTGTATTCAAAATGGATGAGACGATAGTCGCCGTGGGTGCGATGTCATCATCGTTGGGCCATGGGTGCTCTCCACTCAAGACAAAATCGACCATCTAGTTGCACCCATGGATGCTCCCCACGCATGGACGTGGTGGGGCCGTGGATGCTCTCCACACAAAACGGATCCGACCATGGATATGATCATGGTTGTGCCATGGATGCTGTCCACTCAAGGTCTCGAAAGAAAGTTGAGGGCAAACTGGTAACCATATTGGTGATGGTATGGGTACAGATCAAACATCTTTCAGTTCAATCTTCCTATGTCCTCGTAGACCACAAAAGGTCATTATGCTTCGTGGGTTGGTGCAGAGTGCAGCGGATGGTCCTTGGAGTACGTAGCCGTTGCATCGGCTTTCCCGAAGATTTAATGTGTGCCCAGAAGCGCGGAGGCCTGTTGGCTTTTTATTAAGGAATAAAAGTCATCGTCACGATGTAAGCAGCTGATATTGTACTAAACGTAAAGAAGCCCAGCAGGCTTTCATCGGTTCTTCCGTTTGGAAGGCTTTTTAGGGACTCTGAGGACTTTCTCAAACCTGTGCCATTCCGACATGGCGGCATCCCAAATGCTGGCGGACAAGCTTGAAATTTCTCGGCCCGGAGAACCCCACGGCGGCCAGGAGGAATTTTTCAAAAAGGCGGCAGAAGAGAAGCGCAGGCGCGACGCGTTGAGCCCGTCTATAGGATTCTGGTTTCTTAGGTCTCAGGGCCGGGTTCTATGAAATTCTTGACGTTTTCGGGCTTAGCGGCGGATTTGGGGTTTTAGGGTCTTCGGGCCTAGAGTTCTAGTCGACTTGAGAGGATGAGTTCATCCGCCTGTCCACGTGATGATGTCTGATGTGTGCAGCAGGCGTTTGGTAGATAAGAGCTTTGACGAATGCAAGGGCAGCATCTGTTCGGCGGCTGTCTCGGTAAAGTACTTGCGACCATTCGCCTAATCTGCTTCTTCTGCTTCTTCTTTTTCTTGCCCACACACCTGAGCATCATCGCTACCTGTACTCTACCAATCTGCTGTTGCGGCTGGTGCATGGCTGTCGTCTCTCATTGATGGGACTCGGCTGATGGTCGCTGTAAACATGGGTCCCACTACCGCAGGAATGGTGGTCCAGCTAGCTGCAGTCATCTCAATCATGAGATTGACACAAGAAGCAGACAGTGGTTGCGAAGGCCGTGGCTAGACATCGCAAAATGCAGACCCAGTGCAAAGGCCGGTGACCGCAATCCTGGAATACGGCCTCCAGGCACGAGGAGCATCCAATAGCCACGACGCAGCATGTCAGGCGCCAAGAGCTGCGCGAGAAGATGAGGGCTTGGCTTGCCGAGCAGGTCGGGCAGACGGCAGGGTCGGGTTTAGGATTGATTAGGACTTTTCCCCTGTGCTCGAAGGCATTGGTATGTCAGAGTGGTGGGAAATTTGTGGAAACTTCTTCGTGAGTGTCAGCAGACTGGAGATGTTGGCAACTTCCGGCTGCGTGTCGTTCAGTTTCTGAAGGTTCCGACATGGGTTGGGGGTTGCTGGGTTCCGCAACTCGGGGTTTTCAGACCTCGAGTCTTGAGTATGGAAGTGGTATGTGTCGTTTCATTGTCATGCATGGGAGAGAATCCCGGCAGCAGCCTCGTGCGAATTCTATTCTTCCGAACCGTAGAGATGTGATGCAAGCGAAGTCAAACTTGCGAGCAGTCTCGGAATGTGTGTTGGCGAGGAAGCAGCTAAAGGAAGCAAAGCTCCCACACCTGAGCGAAGTGTTGCATCTGATCTATGCTGAATGCTCTGCAGATTGGATCCCTGATGCGTGATGAAAAGATACGAATTTCTAAGCCCATTCCTTCCCAAAGTCTACGTCTACGATCAGGAGGCTGTGGAGAAGGCGCTCCAGACCAAGGTCGCACCTTGCGAAGTGTGAGATGACTTGAACACACGGGCGCTTAACCCGCCCTCCAGTCCCCTTTGCAGTACAACGGGCTTTGCCAAAGGCAATCGGGAACGCATCCCACTGGGATATGTAGCATTGCAGCTGCCCTTCCTGAGAGGCGACCCTCACATGCGCCAAAACGGGTTGGTAGAGGGGAGAGGATCCCTTGTCATTGTGTTTTTTTGGCTGCTGTTGTTGTTGTTGTTGTTGTCGTTCCTGTTTTGCTATTAATGCTTTTGGAGACCGATGCAGATAAGGAAGTAATTTGCCTTTGCTTTCTCAGTTCTCAGCTAGACCAGCTTTTGTTGGAGACTTGATGTGGTCACAAGAGCTGCTGGTTGTGCTTTTTTTAGCTATTGCTTTGTATTGTTTTGGCTGCTCCTGTTCGTCTTGTTATCGTTGCGGTTATAGTCTTTCTGTCAGGATGTCTCTTGACACTACATTCTCGATTTCGGACCTTAGGTCATAGATGCGTAGGTGGGCGGGGTTGTTCATGGTGTAGGATGTGCAAGGGTGATTGCATTTGCAGCAGCAGCAGCAGGAGAAGTAGTAGTAGTAGTAGTAGTAGAAGTAGAAGTAGAAGTAGAAGTAGAAGTAGAAGTAGTAGTAGTAGTAGTAGTAGTAGTTGTAGTACTAGAAATAGTAGTAGTATTAATAGTAGTAGTCGTCGTCGTCGT